GGATTTTTTTAGTACTTTTTTTAGTTTGAGGGTATTTTTAGTCCAAAAATGAAAGTTCAGGGACTGAATCGGGGATATAACCTATATTATTCTTCCATCTTTGTACTTAATTTCCAGGAAATATCTCTTCAATTGCTTTTGGCTTCTGGGCATTGAGAAGTCAGCTAAAAGCCAGGGTACGCTTCTTAATCTCCATCTATAAATAGCTACGCTAATTATTTTTACTCAAATTTCATTTTACCATATGTCTTCTTTGCCGCCTCGTGATCTTTTGATGGATACATCTCTTCATATCGTTATTACTCTGTTTTTTTTTTTTTTCCTTTTTAATTCTCAAATACGAGTGTATTGAACCAATTAGAGAGATATTATTAGGTGAATTAATTTGTGCTGTTTAAATTTCATTATTTCAAAACTTTTTATTGACTGTCTTTTTAATTCATTAGAGCATTTATTCATCGAATGGAGGCGGTATCCTTTGTTGGAGGTTCTCTTTTATCTGCTGCATTTGATTTGCTATCCGAAAAGTTGAATGGATATCTAAGAGATCAGCTACGCGATTCAAAGGAGGAAATACGTGCCCAGATGGAAAGCTGGAATTCTCTGTTGCCCAAAATTACTGCTGTACTTCAACATGCGGAAGAAAATCAAGTTGCCAACCAGTTTGTGAAGTCATGTCTTGACGATCTCAGGGACTTGGCTTATGATATGGAGGACATACTTGAAGAGTTTGTGATTGATGCCAAGAGGTCTGAATTGATTGCAGAATCTGAAGCCAGACCTGGCAAGCGACAAAGAATCATCTCCAGTATCAAGAATTTTTTTAGCTTTAATAAGGCTAAGCCCAATCAAGAGATTAATTCCATGGTGAAGGTTCTGAGTGGTAGATTGCAGAAAATTGATAATGGGATGCGTAGTTTGGACCTGACCAATTTGGCTTTGAAATTTGAGGATAAGTCTCACAAAGTAGTTGCAAAAAGACTACCTGAGTCTTCTCTTTTGGAAGATAAGGTGTGGGGTCGAGATAAAGATAAAGATGCTATTCTTCAGAGGTTGCTAGAAGATGGAGGCAGTCTTGAACAGGGATTTGTTATTCCTATTGTCGGAATGGGTGGACTAGGCAAAACAACTCTTGCACGACTCATCTACAATGACAAAAAACTGGAAGGCAGGTTTGACTTGATGGCATGGGTTTGTGTTTCTGATGAGTTTGATGTTGCTCGAATAACAAGAACCATTTTAGAACAGGTAACTAGGAAAAAATGTGTTTTTGATGATTTCGGTTTACTTCAAGAGGAATTGAAAGGGAAGTTATCTGGGTGCAAGTTTTTTCTTGTATTGGATGACGTTTGGAATAAGGAATATGGCCAATGGGATGTCTTGAAGAGACCTTTCATGTCGGGAGCTATTGGAAGTAAAATAATTGTCACAACTCGAAATAAGGATGTTGGGACAATGATGAGAGGAGATGATGACGTTCACAATTTAGAATTGCTACAAGATGATGCTTGTTTGCCGTTATTTACACGACATGCACTGGGGAAAGAGAACTTTGATGCACACCCAGACCTACGAGATGTTGGTGAAAAGCTTGTTAAGAAGTGCAAAAGATTACCGTTGGCACTAAAAACCCTCGGTGGTGTCTTGCGGGGAAAGTTACATTGTGATGAGTGGGAAAATATATTAAACAGTGAGATATGGAGTTCATCAGAAGATAGAAATGGAATTCTTCCTGCCCTGAGATTGAGCTACTGTCATCTTCCTTCTCACTTGAAACGATGCTTTGCTTATTGTGCTTTGTTCCCTAAGGACTACGAATTCGACCAAAGGGAGTTGGTTCTATTATGGATGACTGAGGGCTTGTTACAGCAACAATCAAATGGAAAGAAGCAAATGGAAGAGGAGATTGGTCATCAATATTTCCAAGAGTTGTTATCAAGATCACTCTTTCAACAATCAAGCAAAGATGAATCACAGTTTGTGATGCATGACCTCATAAATGATTTAGCTGTGGATGTTGCCGGAGAAATATATTGCAATCTTGAACGTAGCATGGGTGATGGAAAATTAGAGAAGGCTCGTCATTTGTCATTCACTCCACACTTTTATGAAATCTCAGAAAGATTCACAATCTTGGATAAATTGAAGCATTTGAGAACAGTATTGCCATTAAGAGCTCTTAGTTACTGCACTTTCTTCTATTTGTCTAAGAAAATCTTGCATGATTTCCTCCCAACTTTAAATCGCGTAAGAGTGCTATCTCTTCACAGATATAATATAAGCCAGCTACCAGATTGTTTTGAAAATTTGAAACATATTCGGTACATTGATTTATCTTGTACCTTAATCAAAAGTCTACCAGATTCAGTGGGTTCTCTTCTCTTCTTGCAAACACTGCTATTATGTGGTTGTTATAAGCTTACCAAGTTGCCTATGACAATCGGGAATCTAGTTGATCTCTATTATCTTGATATCAATGATACACCATCTTTAAAAGAGATGCCATCAGGAATAGGCAATCTTAAAAAACTTTTAACAATGTCCAAATTTATTGTCGGGAAGGAAAGTTGGTTGATGAGATTATCTTATTTGAAGAATTTGTCACAACTTCGAGGAAGGCTGTTTATTCTAGATCTCCAGAATGTTTTGGATGTTCAAGAGGCTAGGGAGGCCAACCTACACAAGATCCATGGTTTGGAAGAGTTAGTCTTGGAGTGGACTGCTTCTGATAATGATCGAGATGAATTATTCCTCGAAATGCAGGTCTTAAGCTGCTTAAAACCTCATTCAAATTTGAAAAGTCTTGAAATTTCTTGCTATGGTGGCAAGAATTTCCCTCCTTGGGTTTGTGATCCATCATTATTTTTCAATTTATCAACCATGGAGCTCAACAATTGTAAGAGATGCACTTTGTTACCATCACTTGGCCAACTACCTGTTCTCAAAAAATTGGTTATTAAGGGCATGGAGGAAATAGAAACAGTAGGTCTTGAGTTTTATGGGCAGCATGACTCTTTTCGATTACTAGAGGAACTGGTGTTTCAAGACATGTTAAATTGGAAGGAATGGATTTCTCTTGCTGGAAGTGGAAGTGAAGGTGAATTCCCTTGTCTTCGTAGGCTTGTGATTTATAATTGTTGTAAGTTGTTAGGACAATTACCCCACAATCTTTCTTCACTCAAAGAGTTGGATGTTAGAAGTTGCAATGCAATGCTTTTGAAGAGTATGGGTGATCTCAGCTCACTTGCTAATTTGAGAATTGAGGAAATTTCAGGATTGACTTGCTTGCGTATGAGTATGAATCTTCCATCATTGAAAGAGCTGTGTATTGAAAACTGCAATGGGGTGCTTTTAAAGAGCATGGTTGATCTTACCTTCCTCACTAAATTGAGAATACAGGAAATTGCAGAATTGACTTGCTTGCCTAAGAGTTTTACACAGTCCTTAACAGCACTTGAGACTCTAGAAATTGGATATTGCAATGATCTTACTTGTTTGTGGGAGGAAGGGACGGAAATAGAACAAAGCTACTTGCCTTTCAATCTTAAACATCTTAGCCTTAAGCAATGTAGAGCTTTGAAGTCATTACCCAATGCAATGATGGTGCAGATGGATGAAAGCAATAGTAGCAACACTAGTATGTTGATGTTGAAACTTGAAAAGTTGGAAATTTATGGTTGTGATTCTCTCAAGTCTTTTCCAAGAGGTAACTTACCCATCACTCTTAAATACTTGAGAATAGAATACTGTAAAGGTCTTGAGTCTCTACCTGATGCGGATGGTAACAGTGAAATCAATCTACTTTTGAAAATAAATAACCTTCCATCTCTTTATTCTTCTCAGGGTAGTTGTCATCAGTTGCCAGCTTATCTCAGGAAATTTAAAGTTAGGGATTGTGAGTGGTTGGAATTATTTCCAGAGAGGATGTTGCAGCATTGTACAGGACTCCAAACCATTGATATTTACAACTGTAAATTATTGAAAAGTTTACCAACCCTTGATTGCGTCAGCAGTCTAGTTGAATTATCTATTTCCAGGTGTGAAGTTTTAGAGTCCTTACCAGAAGAGTTGTGGCTATGCACTCCCAATCTTAAGGAGTTGGCAATACTATGGTGTTACAATTTCAGATTCCTCCCAAATACAATGTACCAGCTGAAATCTCTTCAAAGGCTATGTATGGAAGACTGCCCCAGCATCGAGTTCATTCCAGATGGGGGTTTACCCCTAAACTTAATAGAGCTTGCATTAGTAGATTGTAGGAATCTTAAGTTCATGCCGAGTACGTTGTATCAGCTCACATCGCTTCAGAGACTAACAATCCCCGGGGGGGCTTTGATGATGGGATTTGGATGGGGCCTCCAAAACCTTGTGTCTCTTCAACAGTCGATAATTGAACAGAGATTACCAGTGGATATAGTGCTGCCTTCTTCTTTAACCTCTCTTGAGATCTGGAATGAAGAAAATTTGAAAGCCATACCTGGAGAGCTCTTCCAAAACCTGAACTCCCTTCAAGAGTTATTTATAATTGACTGCCCAAAGCTACAATCTTTGCCAAGGAAAGCCTTCCCTCCCTCGCTTGGACTACTATGCATCAACAGGTGTCCGCATCTAAAACGACAGCATTTTGAGGCAAAAGGAGACTACTGGACTCTCACCTGTACCATCCCCTGCATTGAGATAGATGAGTTTGAGGTAATAACACCTAGCGTGAACTGAAATTAGCATCGCCATTTTATGCATTTCATCTGAGAATTTTGAAAATTTGTAATACTTCATATATAGCATAGCATAGATAGGCTTTTATTCACTTTGGCTTCTTTTTGTGCAGGTTAACCTCAGGAGCTAGCAACAATGAAAAAAAAAATGCCACTATTCAATGTGTTGCAGCTTCATTCAGTCCTTGGATTTGTTTTTTAATTTTTTGGATGACAAAGTCCAGGTAAATTGCCCTAAACTTTAAATGCAATGCATTCATATAGTTGCTTGCTAGCACTTCTCACGTCTTTGAAAACAAGCATTCAATTGCCTCAAAAAGGGCTTATTTCAAGGGTTGATTGGCTTTGCCTTACTGAAATTCACAAATATATAGATAAAGCCACAGCTACCAATAAGCTTGCAAAATGATGTTCTTAGAGAAGCCAACCAATTTGAATTTTAAATTCAATACTGCAGGACCTCATGTTTTTCATTCTGAAGAATTGGGAACACTTTTGAAACAAGGAGTTGCTGATGTTCAAATGAAATTTTTCTGTAAGCTGGAACTGGAACACAGATGATTTTGCTGAATTAAACAAGCTTGTAATCTTACCAAGCCGAGCTGCAGCTTTACAAAATTTTGTTTGGGATTACAGAACTTACCCTGTAAGTATCCAAATTACCTCAAAATTTTATTTTTATGCCTATTTGCTTTGCTAGACAAGGAATCAAAACTGATATATCACGCTATCTCTATAGTTCATTTTATTTGAGCAAAGTTATATATTTTGATGATATACTAGTCTATTCCTCTGCTATCTATGATGTTAGCTGCCTTAGAATTAAATGATTATTTCCAGGCTTCCTTCTCTTGACTAATATGTATTTGGTTGTGTTAGAGGTTGACTAATAATTTTTCATTTATTCTGCAATTTTTTAAAAAAGCTTTTTTCCCAGATCGTATAGATTTCTACAGCTTTGTGTTATTATTTTACTTTGATTTCATTTCAGCAATTCACTTATCCATCTTTCTTTTTTATGTTATAATTGATGCTTTCTGTCTTCTTCAATAACAAGTTGTTCCATATTACTATGTGTCCTTGGCATTTCTTTTCTCCATCCAAATTCTAAATGAATAATTTTCTCCATCTAATTTCAGTCTAGCCTTTGACTTTTCTAATTTCCCATCATTTTTTTTTTAATTTTCCCAGTTGCTTGTGCAGAGGATATAGCAAAATCATGTTAGGCATATGTAGGACCCCTTTGTTTTGTGGCTCCCTTTTTCCTTTTTATGTGTCAGAAGTTATTAGCATACTCTAAATTGTAAATGTGTTGGGGTACTGCTTGTACCCCGTTTAATAAATTTCATTTACTGATAAAAAAAAAAATCATGTGCTTGCTCATTTCGATTCTCTTTGATTCTGGTGCCTTGTATTTGTTTTACCAGCTATTTGCAGCTACAAGCTTCTACCCTCCAAAGAACGCCTTCTACGGAATGCAGGTTTCATATTCTCATCCCTCAGTTATTTACAGGGATTCTCTATGATACATCAAGAAAATGCTAAGCTTTAATTCACGTTTGCAGGACATGGATTTTCTTCTAGTTTTTCTTGTCATTTCCCTTGATCTAGGCCAATTCCAGGATACATAAAGGTGGATGGAGTAATGCTTCAAGGCAGCATCATGCACAAATCATTTCAAGGTGCATTGTCACATTTTGATCCTTTAACATGTGCAAAATGTAAAGTTCAAACCCAAGATATTAGTTGTGGGTGGGACTTGATATTAGACTAATTTATGCCATACTCAAATATCTTAATTTCTTCAAGATTCTTCTGTCCTATGCATCCATCGATCTTGTGTTGAGAAAACTCTTCATGAATGTATACATGAACTGCAGGGGGCTTGGACTTTGAATGTATCAGGTCAGTGGAGCTCTAAATTACAGATAGTGGCTGGTTTTGATCAACATTGCAAAAACAATTGAGAGACGGTGAGAGCAAGTTGCAACAGCAGATTTAAGCTTGGTGACATTTATCCGAAACTGATTGGAGATTTTGACTTCCAGTTTTATTTTGATGATGATTATGGCATCAGTAATCAAAGAATTTATTCCTAATGATTATTGTTTGTTGTGTACAACTTCTAGTGTTTCCTAGAATAGAATAAACTTTGTAACAAAGTTAGCTTTATATTTAGTGGATATTTTTTAAACTGAACTAGGTCCCATGATTTTTTACCCTCAAGGATTTTCCACGTTAAAAAATCTGATTTCTTGTTAGTCGCTTGATTTATTTTTAAGTTTGATTATTTTCTGCTTAATTGCACACAGAGAGAAGGATACTTGTTGAGTGTGGTATTTGCCTATTTGGTGAGCCTTTTTGAAACGGTATATTATATACACAGGTTGGCTTTTGATCAATGCATCCCCAAAGCTAGAAAAGCTCATTTTTGTCTTATCCCTATTCAAGTTCAGTTTATTAGCTGTACGAAGACCATTTGGTGATGGATTATACTTAGACTTGTGTATACCAGCAACCCACATAAAGCATTAGGATTTGGTCCAAGGTCCACTTACACTTTTCTGAACTCATTGGGTAAAACAGATGGTTTTTGTTCTTAGAAACAAAAAAAAAAAAGAAAAAGAAAAAAAGGAGAAACGTAGATGCCTTTTTCTTATCCACCATCAGTTAAGAACATAATTCAATCCTTGAAGAAGTATTATTCGAAGTTATGAAGGGAATGATCTCTGGTATTCTATTACTGTGTATAGTTTTATATATAAGAAAAGAAGTATTAACATAATTAATACATTTACTTCAATTGAATACTGAATACTATAGAGCTAAAAAAGTCAGGTATATATCTATCTAGAACAGTTGGGCTGACTGGTGAATCCAACAAGCTTGCAATCTATTTCAAGCTGTTGTTCTGCGATATTTCAGTTGGAAATGCTGAACTCACCCTGTGAGTAGCCAAACTACCTCTTTAAATTTCTATTGTGCTACTTACTCCTTTTGTTTATATTATTATCTAGGATTTTAATTCACTCAAGATATCTCTGTTTTTACCGTTCATTTCAGCAATGTGCTTATTCTTCTATTCCTTTTTCCCGTTGCAGCTTACAAGATGTGCTATCTTTGTCTTATTATATCTATACTGATTCTGGTGCAGGGGAATTCAGTAGATCCCATACCATCTCCTAACAACAAATTAGTCTCCCACACGTTCCCTTATTTTTATGTATGCAATACACAGAGGAAAGAACCAAAAAAGGGTGATCTTTTCCAATCCCTCTCAGCTCACGTTCAGCAAACTTGCTCTTCTCCAAAATTTAGTGACATTTTAAGCACTCAGCCTTTTTTTCTTTTTTTAATTTTTAGCCATTACACTCAATTTTTTTTTTAAACAAATTACATTAGAAGTAAAAAGATTCGAACTCCAATGAAAAATGTACCTTTAATGGATTAAAAAACCATTAAACCACGAAACCCAGGTGTGCACTCTGTTTGTTTTAAGTATTATATTTCCTAATGTTTGTTTTAAGTATTATATTTCCTAATGTTTATAAGGCACCATATAAATAGGAAATCAAATGCGTATTTGTTTGACCTATAGGTTGTGGTGTTTCTTTATTTAAAAATGGTGTTGTGAATTGCACTAAGGTCAACAATTTAAATCATTAGATAAAAATAAATTTTTAAAGGATTGAAAAAAATTAAAATATTTTAATAATTAAAATATCAAATAGTAAAAAAATTCATAAAATACTTTTAATGAATTAATAAATAAAAAATTTTATTATAAATATTTAAATAATTTTATAAAAATTTTAATATTTAAAAAATTAAAACATCTTAAGTTTTATATTTTATTTTTTTAATATTAAAAATTATTGATCATTTTAATTGAATATAGACTATAAAACAACTTGTTCTTCTTTATTACCGTTCTCCTTCGAAAACGAAAGATGCCTTGCGTAACCGGTTGTCTAAAGAAATGCAAATGGGACCCTCCAAGTGGAAGGAAGAAAATTTCATGGGAACTACAAAATTGAAAAATTTATTTTACGAGTCATCGATTCAACTAAATTTAGTAGTAATTTTTTTTTATTAAAAATAAAAAATTTTAAATTTAAATTATATGATATAAATAAAATAAAATAAAAAATAAAAAATTATTTTTGATTAAATAATTAAAATAAAAAATTACTTCATGAAATTAGACGGAAATAGCCAATTGGTAAGAGACAGCATATCTTTTCTTTTTCTCTTTAATTTGCAGGGTGAATAATTGCAGGCAATGGGGTCTTTAATAATTGTTTTTCCTTTCCTTGCAGATAGAACCTCCAATTCCAAATAAAAAGAATAGTATTTTACGGTAAGGTTATTCGTTTTGCACCATAAATAATTAATATTATAATTTTAAATATGATTATTTGTTATATTTTTTTTTGGTACATATTATTTGTTATGTTTTATATTATATATTTTTAAAAATTTTATATTTTATATTTTTAATAAATTAAAAAAAATAATAATTAATTAAAATAAAACATATAATATTAATAATTAAAAATGTGATAATAATATTACTATAATTGCACGTTTTAAGTGGGAATCCAAGAAATTAGTAGATGGATTAACAAAAACAACAAAAAAAAAAAAATGAAAAAATGAAAAGGAAAGAAGCAAGCATCTTCGCTTTCTTTCCAGGGGAAAAAATTAGAGCCATGAACATGGGGATGCCCAGTGTACCTGTATACACC